CTCCCTGGTGCAACGCACCTGATTGGATAAGTGAGAGAGGGCCAAAATTAAGAGCCCCGCCACCGTTTGATTTGAGCCACAGGTGCGCCTACTCAACCAGCAGGTCAACGAGTTTCCGGGAATTGGTTGAGGAGTAGCTCAACCAATTCCCGGACCAAAACCAAACTTTTGACATTTCTGGTTTTGACACCTGTGCCCAATCTTTCGGAAATCACATGCTGATTCAATTACGAGTCGTCACACGTGTATAAAAGGGTTTGCTTCACTTGTGAAAAGAGCTGGACGCCTCTTCGACAGCGCGGTGGCCTGAAAGACACGGTAACGTAAGCTCTTGACTTTTAAATATTCAACCTTCCAAGTGCCTGGCTCAGCACCCCGATATTTGGTCGACATGTCAAAGACCTGCCACAGCCTCGTGAAGCCAGGGCCCAAATCTCCACAGGATGGCAGCCATTTTGTGGGTCGTTCTGTCAACGTGAGCCTGTGGAGACAGAAATTACAATCGACACATTTGGGATTTAGTCTGTCGTGCGGCGGTTTCTTAAAACGTGGCAGTTCTACCGTGTTGCAGTCAATTCGGCCATTCTGTAGCAGATGCAAAGCCTGTGGATAGAAAAAGAGACAAATTAGATGGGCTTGCTCCAAACGGTTCAGGACTTAAATTACACGTTAAAACGCACTGCGAGTGGACAGTGTTCGTCCATTTGAAGATTTGTACCTGTGAACAGAAATGACAATCAACACGCACACACGCACATTAGTTCGGTTTAATTGTGAATTTAGAAATGAGTTTTGTCTACTTACCCTCTCGGCGAACGTCGATTTTGTCCTAGAAGGTTGGGAGAAAAAAAAAAAAAGATTTTGTTGCAAAGTAAGTTCGCAGGAGACGCTGATTGCTCACGCTCGAGCAAACATTTTGCTTAGCATGTTAGCCAGGTGCGTGCACGTCTAAAGTGCTGCTTTCCATTCAAAGTGGGAGCCAAAGCGGTGTGTTTTAAGAGGCTATTAAAGAGTAAAAAAAAAAAAAGTCACCTTGTTGGAGTTTACCTGGTCTTCTGGACGGGCGTGCAGAGCAGGAGCAGCGTGAGGACGTGCGGAGGCTGTCGAAAGTGAGAAAGAACGAGTCCCTCGATGGCCCGGCTTAAATAGGCTTCCGGCAATGACGTCACTTCCGGAAAGAAAAAAAACTTTTAATTTGAAACAGGAAGTGAGTGAAGATCTTGTGTGGAAAAAATCTGAGCTGAATGATGAAGGCTTTGCCTAAGGACGGCACGGGGCTCGAACTTGAGTTCACCAGTGGAGAATCCCTGTCACATACCACTGGACTGTCCTTCCACACTGACGTCGACTACTAATACCTCTATCTATTGTCATTCCATAGTCCCGTTGCATTAGGTCTATAAAATATAAACAGCCGAAAAGTTTGATCAGTGATTTAGCGTGGTCGAATGGAAAACGACAATACTTGGTACCCGGGAAGACCGGGTTCGATTCTTGCTTAATTTATAAATAGAGCACATGGTGGGTCTCGAACTCGGTTCGCCTGACCACTACTCGATGTCTTTTACCATTAGGCCATTCTGGCGCGAAAATTTCGAAATTTTTACATCTAATCATAGGGCGTCCGTCTTAAGATGAGCCGTTCAAAAAAGGAGCATGTTTGGTGAGACGCTTGGCATCTCTCGTGGACTGTTCGCTTCTGCTTCAAACTTCTCACTTCGCCCCTGAACGAGGTGACGGGAAACCCTTGTTCGACTCTTGCTAAATTTATAAACAGACAGATGGAGGTTCGAACTTGTTCCGCCTGCCTACCCAGCGATGTCTTTTACCATCAGGCCATCCCGGGACGAACATTTCGCAATTTTTATATGTAGTCGACGGCGGCCGACCACACGAGTCCGTTTTTTTGAAGGTAAAAAAAAACAATTGGTGAGACGGTTGGCGTCTCTCGTGGAGTGGTCACTGATGGGACGAGCTTCGCCTTTGGGCGACGTGACGGCACTCCAACCTCACCCATCACCCCTCGACCACGCCAGTATTTCCGACCGCTGCCTGCCTTCAGAACGCCATCCTGAGATCAGGAGAGAGTTTGCAAAGCCAACTCCGTTTTCGATTAAAGACGAGTTGCACAAAGAGATTGTGTCGTTTTGTCATTTTGCTTTCTTGGCGATCGTGAATAAAGTGCAAATAAAACACCCATACGCACACTTCCAAACGTGCAAGCCAACTTTATTCATTGTTTCAAGATGCTTTGTAGATCAGGGCAACTCCGCTGGAAAAGTTGAGACGCAAGTCCGCAAGTCGCGTCTGGATGCTTGCGGGGTGCTCTCTGCTGGTCCCAACGGGGCCGGGGGCTGAAGAACCTGCAAAACCCAAAGAATCGCGTTGAAATCAAACTTCGTTTCAGATTGGGGAGGAAACATCGGATGACTTTCTGAGGGCCCCCATAACTTTTCCCCCTCAAAGTATTCACCGTACACCGATCAACATGCCCCACCCCACCACCACCACTACTTCCAAAACAAAGTTTACCCAACTACGACAATGCGTCAATGGGAGGCTTGTGTGTCGGCGGGCGGGGGGCGATTCCCCAACCGACCGGCACAGGATAATTTGCCAAAATTCTGTCAAGCGCTTTATGACAGCTGTCGTGTTAGCGCTGGAGAAATCAAGATGCATTGTATAAAGTTACCGCATGCTATTTTTTTCTGAATCTGATCAAAATTTCTTTGTGGTGTTGAGCTGCGCGGGGGTGCTGAGTTGTTCAGGGGTGGTAGCGTGAAGTCGTAGAACCAGGCCTCCTTGTTCCGAGTCCACCGCATGAAACTCCAGCAGAATGCGGTCTCTTCCCAGCCCCTCCGCCACCACGAGCAGCCCGTCACAACTGGACGGGCTCAGAAACATTTCGGTCTCAAACTCCAGCAGAGGGCCCGCTTTTGGCAAGGGGAATCAATAAACTCGCTTTCCAATCTCAGCTAACAGCTGTAAGAGTCATTGTCAAATTCGACCGCAAACTCGCAAGAGGCTCGCGCCCTTCGTCGACGGTGTTAACGCTTAAAAACAAACAAAACAACACAACACAAGGCCTGAACTAAACGTAAGGGCGCCGTCTGCTGGTGTCCAATAGGAACGACAAAACTTCGACTGAAGTGGCTCTCAACTTTACAAGTACAGTCCCACCGAAAAAATACAACTCTCTGGGCACCTTTATCAGGTGCTCTCTCACCATGTTGGTCTTTGTCGTTGTGTTTATGATCCTCTGGACGAGTTGGAACTGGGAAAGTCAATTCCTTTTGTGTTTTTGCACGCTTGGCTAACACTGTAAATTCGATTCAGATTACTTTCCAAACGCCTTTGTGGTTTCCCGGACAGTAGGGGGCGATATGAACTAAGGACGTCCAATTCACGAAGAAGAAGAAGAAGAACAAGCACAAGAACGGGACCACATCCGGTTTAAGTAGTAAGTTTTTCCGCTGTCCACAAGCCCTTTTCTCAGTGAGTAATTTAAACATTTTAAACTGACTTCGCCGTTTATCTGTGAGTGTTTTGATGTCGACAATTGGGGAGCATAATTGCGACACGTTGCTCCTCGAATTTTTTTGTTGTTACTCACTATGTCACGGGTCGTTATCGTAAAAAACAACGTCAGCAAAGGGGGAAGTTAGCGAGCAGGCCGCCAACAAGGAGACCTCAGCTGTCAATCAAAAGGCAATCGAGAAGAGCGTTTGACTTGAATGTTGATTTGTGTTTTCCACACCAAAGCTTCTGTCAACAGTGGAAGTGTGATGGCTTCACATCAGGTAGCAGATTTGTCTCAAAACTATTCACACAAATGAACCCGTGACTTTTTTTCACTTGTTTTTGAAATATATTTGTGATTTTTCAAGTGGGGTTTTTTCTATGTGGCAGCCCAATGTGAAGGTCCTCCGTGTCAAGGCTAAACAAGCTCGATCGAAACAAGCTAAAACCGAATTGTGTTTCCCGACTTCGATGCAACAAATTAGGCATATCTCGATAGTTTTTCTTTTGTGGAAGGTTGAACGATATTGAGTATTTTCAAGAGTTGAGCAGTTGATTGAAGGGAGGTTGCTCATTGTACTTGAGGTGTGGAGAGAGAGCCGCGAGCGGATCGCTCAGGCAGATGCATTGCGAGTGTGGGCACGTTAGGAAATGGACGGGTTGAAAATAAAAGTCTGCCACTTTTCAAATAATGACTCAAACAGAATCAAAAGCAACAACATTTTTATAGACTAGTGTGTGACTTTACACTTTTGTTTTTTTTTTCTGCCTGACCAGATTAGTCAGATGACTGGCCCAAAGGTGCAGCCGCCAGACTCTGAAGGTGCAAGCTGCATTTCAACCCGAACACATGATCAAGGACTTCTACAATATGTTTTTAAACCTTGAGGTGGACCAAGTTAGTATATATATATATATATATATATACACAAACATACATATGACTACCTTGGCCCACTTCAATGTCATTTAAAAACTTGACCAGAAGAGTGTGATCATGTTGTTGTGGAGTACACGGCACTTAGTTTTTGTCTCAGTGAGAGATGTCGGACGTGCTCATGTCCCCCTTGGTGTGTCATGAGATGTCAGTGCTGTCACACGTGAGCTGGTCAAGCACATGCTCCCATCTGAGGCCTGCCGTCAATGTTTGTGTGCGTGCAACTTGAACTGGCCCACACAAAGATTGACTGGTCAAATGCTTTTACATTGTCATGTTTGCTTTTCTGTCCAATAAATTGTTCAACTTCAATCTGAGTCTTTGCCTTAATGACTAAATCCATCCTCATCTCACTCGAAGCCTTTTCAAAGACTGACGTCTTGAGCTCAGACTTGCGCTTCAGTCACATCAGACAGTCTTTTCACTGTTCCCGTTGGTCTCCACATGACTCGAAACTCCAGGAATCGAGCTTTTGGGTCATGCGAAACCCATGGGAACAGTGAAGAGACTGTCTGATGTGACCCAAGTGCAAGTCTGAGCTCAAGACTCAAGTGGAACTTTGACAAAGTGCTGCAATGCCCGCCCCAAACCACACCCAATTCGGCATCCACCAATCGAGGCGAAGCCCTCATTTGCATATATTTGCATAACCAATCAGAACTGTCCAATTTGCATAACCACGCCCACTTTCCAGGATCCAGCCAATCAGATCGCTCCAAATTTACATAACCACGCCCCCTGGTGCACCCACCAATCACGAAAGACCTCATTTGCATAACAACGCCCCCTATTCCACCAATCGCAGCACGTTATCGTGGCGCTCCACCCACTTTCACGGCCATCAGCGAATCAACGGCCTTCATTCCAGCCAGGCCACACCCACTTTCCTGGATTTTTCTGCCTGGGAAAAAAAATCCAGGAAAAAAATTTTAGAAAAAAATTTTGAAAAAAAATTCACCTACTTTCCTGGATTTTTCTGCCTGGAAAAAAATCCAGGAAAAAAATTTTAGAAAAAAAATTTTTTG